CTGCGAAAATTTGACGAAGATGAAGCGTAGAAAAGACATGGGAATGTCATGAGTGTGCGAATTCATACGTTGATGACATGCTCGCCATATATACTGTCCCAAAAAAAAATTGTCGGACGGCGAGGTTAAGCCAAATATTATGATTTTCAGGGACGATCAGATCAACTTTTGGCCGAGGTAAATGATCTATAGACGAGACAGTGATAAATCACGATATTTGATGATGACTGAGTACAACTGTTAAATACATGGAGTTGATCGGACACGACAGACTGCAGGGTACGTATCTGAGACGTGTCAGTATTTTTAAGGTAAAGATTCAACGCATTCTGAGCTCTGGGTCCGTAATATATTGTTCGTAAGGAGAATTAGTCTTTTGGTTCAATTATTTTATTGTTCGATCGCTGAGTTTGTATTTCGTCCTGAGAGGAATAAAATTTCTCAAATTCCAAGTCGCTCTCCAACACTGCCCTTTAAAAAAAAAAAAATGCCATTTGTTTACAGCTATGGGTCTCGGTTACTTCGCTTGAGGTATTCAGAGTATAGAATATTTCAATACAATCCAATTAATTTGCAGAAATTTTAGTTACATAAAATTCATTTAATTAACAAAAATACAAAATCAGAAAAAAAAAAAAAACATTAAATGAGAGAAAAGTGGCTAAAAGAGCAAAGGAGCAAAACCTTTGGAGTTGTGCCACTACCAAAGTAAAATTATTGAGGATCAGACAGTAGAATATATAACTTAGAAAGCGTATAAATATAGTGCAATATTCTTCAGAGGGAGCTTTGCTCTATTTCGAATCAAATGCCGATTTTACGAAAATGATCGATATGTGTTTTTGTTGTTGTTCAGACTGCTGTCGTTACCAATTTATAGACACGATCGCAGCTTTGGCGTATGCGACAAGCTTGCGACAAGTGTATGACACGAATTGCCTTCTACTGTAGGAAACCTACCTTAGAACTTCTCAAGCTCATAAAACGGTCTTAACCTTACAGTAAACTAAGCATAATGCAAGGCCTGGTAATTGACTGTATCAACTGAACT